AATTTTGTGAAGTGGTAGGAGAACGCCTTGGGGTGTCACAAAAAACTCGGCATATCTGGGAAAACTTCGTAAAGGGGTCAAAACTGACCAGTCGTATTTCCCTATATAATCTTTGTATTTTATGGGAAAAACAGAGGGTCATTTCAACGCGGATTTTAGGGTACTTAAACTCAGTATATCTGGCTAATTTTTTGCATAGTCTTAGGTAAATGGCTTGACCTTTAGGGAAAACTGTCGGTTCGACTCAAAGCCATCGACGAGTGCTGAAAAGTGACCGCGAGTGAAATTCTCTTTATATGAGCTCTATTACGAAAAAAAATTTCCTCCGACGACCCCCCTTGAAATTTTGTGAGGTGGTAGGAGAACGCCTTGGGGTGTCACAAAAACTCGCCATGTCCGGGAAAAATCGGGAAATGGGTCAAAACTGACCAGTCGTATTTCCCTATATAATCTTTGTATTTTATAGGAAAAACATAGGGTCATTTCAAAACGGATTTTAGGGCAATTTTTAGGTTACTTAACGTCTGTACATCATGCTAAGTTTTTGCATACACTACTATAGATGACTAGGCCGTATGGAAAAACCGTTGGTCAGACTCAAAGCCCTCGACGAGGGCTAAAAGATGATCGTGAGTGAAATTCTTTTTATATGTGATATATATATATTAAAAAAATTGACGAACGATCCCCTTAATATTATATGACGTCGTAGACCGACCCTGGAGGGTAACAAAAAAACTTTATTCCCGTCGGGAACAGCCATTATAGTCGTTAAATATGTTCATATACCGTAATTTCTTATATAAGCATAGCAACTGTTTGTAAAAAAAAAAAAAAAGTAAACAGACGTACGTCATACGTTCAGTTTTCAAGGGAGGTAACGTTTTTAAAATTATTATTTTTCAAATAATTGTATACTATTTTAAACAGCAACAGAAAATGAAGAAGTATAGAATTTGTTTCAGTACAAATTTAAGTTGATAATTTAGTTACGTATCCTAATTAAATAAATTTATTAATTTTAAAAGGCAATGTAATATAAACTATGAGATATACTGTTCATTGAACCTTTGTAGTTCTAATTCCATTTTAGTTATAGATTGCGTACTTTCCAATATCTCTTATATTTAAATTAAAATGACAAACAAAAACATATTTTCTAAAGTTAGCATTACTGTTTAAATTAAAGCACTCCACACCCAATCCATCGCTAAGTAATTAAGTATTCAAGTTCTCAAATGTTTTTTAAAAACCTAAGCGAAGCTAGGCAGTATGCCTAGTATATACATATTTGCCGTTTAAATACTCGGTAATCTATTGCAATTATGAACAAACTCATTTATAAGTAAGATTAGAATTTTTTTTTACAAATTTGTTTAAAGCTGCTTCCCATTTATCTATTATTATTAACTAAGGGAAAAAATTTTTAATAATTATTTCCAAATTTAGTTTTAAATAAAAAAAAATAATTCAGTATTGATAAAACTAATGAAGCAATGACTGTATTTTAAAGAAATAAACAAATAAAATTAGTTGTGTGTTTTGATTATCATTAAGTTTCTTTTTAATAAACAGAATTAAAATTAATATTTAGTTTAAAGAGAAAACGGTTAGGTAAATTAAAATTAAAATTTGTTAATCATTAGTCCATAGGAAGGCACATTTTCCAAATTTGTTTGTTATACTCTGTTTAGCGAAAAACATTACATGAACAGAACCAGTTATGAGGGTGGTGGTAAAAGAAAAAGTAACCACCAGTTGTCTTCTTCTTCTTCTTCGTTCTTAATTATTAGTGTTGAAGGGGAGCGAGATTTATCTGCCAGTGGGTTTGAACTCGAGACTTTGTTCGAAGTTATCAACCATGAGGGTTCGAACTCAAGACTTTTCGGTTTAGCAACCATGAGCTTTACCGACTCGACCACGCCGACCCCCACCACCAGTTGTGAAAGTGGGGTTTTTGTGGTTATATGACTGTGGTTATATGTATCCGTAATGTATACTGTAATACACAACCAGTCCGGGGATCGTACCGTGTTAACGTCTTCTTTAAAATCGTAGCCTGCCACAGTTTCGAGAAATCCAACACAAGTACAATTCAAGATATACTATAATGGTTTATTATTCAACACAAATCAATTGTTCTACTTCTACCCTAACTACGTCCTAAGTTCTACTGTCTACTTCTTCCATCTAACTGCTCCCTAACTCTGCATATCTCCGAGGGTTCTCTACCGCTACCTGTCACCAGCTCCTGACCCACGCTTCACTGGTCATCTGACCGTCCCACGTGACCGGTCAGCTCCTGTATTTCCATTGGTCTACCTAACTAAGCTATACTCTGTTTCTGTTAACTTCTACTTGACCTATCTCACGTAAACTTGCGTCATCACACCTGTGTTTTATATTTGCTACACCGTGTTCAACGCTTTATATACTGACGATAGAGCCTAGGTGACAAGGAATAAAATAGCTAAATTCTAATACACATTGACAAACACAGTGGTTCACTCAAATCTACTAACAAAATCAGTAAGAGTTAAAGTATACAACAGGTCTACTTTATTTCTCTGTGGTACAGGAAAACACAGTCTACTACAAACAGCAATCGAATAACTAATTATAAAAATCCCATAAAGTATATTGAAGGCCTTATATAACATAGTTACTTTATTTAAATGAAAATAATTAAAAAGTTGGATAAATATATTAATAGGTTTAATGGATGCTCTTCGGCGGTTTACTGACGAACACAATAATTTACAACAATCCACTTACATTAGCCTTAAAAGTAAATGTAACTGTTATAACTGAGCCCAACCCCCTCGTCCCACCGCTAGTGGGTAGCTACCCCACCCTCCTCCGGCCCCACACCTGAACTGTGACAGCGTGTACTGCCCTCCCCACCCCCACCCCCCACACCTGAACTGGGACACAATGCATCAGTCCCACCTAGGATTTTGCAGGCGCCCGTCCCTCCCCCTCGCTGGAATGCCGGGGTCATGCAGGGGTTAAGGAACCAAAAGCGTCAAGCTTGGGCCAGAAAGATAGGACAGTTGGACATTAGGCTGGTTAGAATGTAGTCGTGTTTTTTGTATTCTTGTAAAGTGTGGTAGGGCTGGCCCCTATTAGGCCAGCCGCTATTAATGAACTAGTTCTGCTTCCTTAGACGATAGTAAGACTACCATATACAGTGTAGTTCCATTATCTATGTTATTAAACCTGTTCCGCTGAAATTGTGTTGGCGTTTCATTTGAACCTCTCACTTCAGTCAGAGCCGGCGTTAGGAATACGCGGGGCCTAGGGCCAACCATCCGCGCGGGGCCTTTCCATTATATATATATATATATATATATATATATATATATATATATATATATTTGTATGTATAAAAGCCTATATAATGTGATGTGCACATAATAAAACAAATGTTTTGGAGTTTATAAGCTAATGTCAAACTTTCCACTATAATAACAGATTTTTATCTCTCCCATGTATTAACCCAATGTTCGTAGTTTTTTTTTTCCTTTGCTAAGATATTAAATCACTTTTAACAGTTATGTAATTCATACCAAATCACTTAAGAAAATTTAATCACGTGCCGAATAATTAGGAGAATAAAGTTTACAATACAGCGAACTCGGCCTGATGTATCAAAACAGTATAGACTTCAAAATTTGTTTAGAATTCATACAATATTTTAAAACCAAAATCATTATTGTCTTAATTATTGAACGGGTGAATCCTTAAGGTGACACAACATAACAACAGTTTTAACTTTCTTCCAAAAAATAATAATAAATCACTCTGTTTAATGCCGCCTGATATAGATCCTAAGGCCCCCCCCCCCCTCGTCGCCCTCCTCCCAACCCTCTGCACGCAACTGAATGTTAATTTTGTTATACCAAGACAGGTAGGCCTACATATAGAGTTTCTTCCAGGCATCTTTTTTTTTGGGGGGGGGGGGGGGGGGGGGAAAGCCCCCCCCCCCCCCCCCCGAAAACGAAATGAAATTTATATAATTTTTAAAGAAAATATATACTTTTAACAGTGTCCGCCGCCCCCCCCCATGAAAGTCAGTCTACCGCCCCCCCCCCGCCCCCCGAAAATGTCAAGTGCCCCCCCCCCCCCGGAGAAAAAAGTCTGGAAGAAACTCTGTACATATACGACATTATACGACATCTACAACAAGAAAGTTAGGGACTAGAGTTCATTAGGTCACTAACTGTCTACTATTGACATCCCGTCTGCTCACTAAAAGGCAGTGTTTCTTCCAGACTTTTTTCTCCGGGGGGGGGGGCACTTGAAATTTTCGGGGGGGGGGGGCGGTAGACTTTCTTCGGGGGGCGGACACTGTTAAAAGTATATATTTTCTATATAAATTATATAAATTTCATTTCGTTCGGGGGGGGGGGGGCGGTAAACATTTTTCGGGGGGGGGGGGGGGGCGAAGTCCCCCCGAAGAGATGCCTGGAAGAAACTCTGCTAAAAGGACGTCTTCGTCGGTCCGCATACAATAGGGTATCTCTTCACGTGGGCTAATTCTCGACCGCCATCTCCAGTCAGCTCAGGTCAAATGCCAGGCGACCGTACCCTACACAAAGGGTTGGTGTGACACTATTTTTGTATCGAATTACGACCTGTCCCAGTTCAGGTGGGACTCACCAACATCGACCGTGGTCTCAGTTATAACAATCAACAACGTCGGCATTCGACAATTTAGTTTTTCCCAATTGAATGCAGCAACAATTTTGTTAAGTTTACGAACTAATTCAGATAACAATGACATTGCTGAAGCGCGGGGCCCCTTCAAGCGCGGGGCCTATGGCGACCGCCCCGTTCGCCACCCCCTAACGCCGGCTCTGACTTCAGTCATCATCACCATACAGATTACTCCGTTCAAAACAGTAACAATATAAAGTAACATGTAGGCGTATGTATGTGTTCAACAATGATGTAAATAAAATAGGTTGCGAGGTCAGACACTTAACACGTCTGTGTTGGATGCGGATCTCTATCTGTACGCACACACGGATTTAATATAACACATGATACAGTTATAGTTTAACTTTTAAAAACTCAGACAATTTTAGCAGATCATCATATTTTCATCTGAGATAAAAACTAGGACGTAATTTATACCTGAATATAGGATTTAAATCCGACATGCTATTGGACTAATAATAATAAAACAATGTTTGAATCTAATCTTAACCTGGTTCTATTGCTGACGTGTGTTACGTGTGTGGTTCGCGTCCACCACGTTGAGAGTTATGTTGTTATGGTGTTTTCATCGGATAACTTCCAAAGCACGATTCGATTTAGTGCATCATATTTCAACTCGTAAGCAAACTATTTCATACTAATGTAGTTTTCTTATTGATTAAGCTTAACCGGTTAAATGTTTTTTTTAACTTAAACGACAAAAATTAAAAGATTATTGTTTGTTTTATAGTCCTACAGTTAAAGAATGGAGAATAAGTCATGTAATGAACAATGTTTTTTATTAATGCGTGCATTTAAATACAATGTCATGTATTTAAAAAAACTTGAAACTGCTCAAAAGAATGTATTTTGACCAATACATTCTCTACCGTTTCTTATACGAATGTTACAACATTAATTCATATTCATTGTTCGTCAATCATACTTTAACTTGGGTTTCAGTTTTAATAATTATATAGTTTCAATCATCAATCTAATCAGTAAATATTAAAGTATATAAACTGCTGGCTTTGAACTGTTTTGCTGCGCATATTACAAATTGCTGTCTACGCATTATACTGAAGCAAATGTTTTATCGTAGTAAATTATAAAACTAAATAAACACTATTTTTTTCTTCTTCAACAGGTTATTTGACTGCATGCTTGAAAAATATGTACGTTGTCAGGCAGACTACCAGTATAACCACAATTTCAAGAGACACGAAGTGACGTCAGTTAAAAGGTCCAGCAATACAGATGTAGCAGCATATATTTGTGAAGTACACAATTCTACTGTGTGGTCCGGATATATTCTGTGCTCCACCAGAGTTAATCAATGTCAATTGTCTAATACGTGCAGGTCTTTTACAGAAGGTATATTTATATTAAACAGCAATGTTTATCTGTCTGGTAGCAATATCGAGAGCTGCGTAACAAGTTGCGTAAGTCTGACGTTCTACCACATAACCGCACCATCCACCAAACCTACAATAATAGCTACAACCAGGCCAAGGATCAGAGTTCGGCCCATCACAAACACATCATTAAAACCTGTCGGAACAACATCATTGAACACTGTGAGAATGACATCATTCAATACTGCCACAATGACACATTTAACCAACACAACTATGTCCGATACACCTTCAAACAATTTGTCTTCATCAACGCTAATCGGAGTGGTCGTACCTGGTGCTGTGTTTCTTGTTCTATGTTTTTCTTTTGTTTTTCTTTGCTGGAGAAAACGGAAGTCTCGAATTGACCAATCAAACTACAGTCTGTCATCGAATAGTATTCGTTTAACAGAGAAATCTGTTTATGTCAATAACAACATTGTAACTACAGGAAAACATAATCAAATGGGATCTAGTCTTGATCAAAGCAGAATTGAAACTACAGAGCAGCTGTATATAAATACAAGAGAAACAGCTGGAGACTGTTCTAAATATGGCGTAGAAGATGGTTACACAGATGTAGAGCAAAGACAAGATTGTTTCTACACAACAATCGAAAATGGGACAGATAACACTGACAGATCCAGATCTCATGGTTTAAAACGTGATACTTTGGATTACAACAATATAGTGATGGAAAATGTTGTAAACCAGGACACAACGACACTCACAAACACCAAGGTTAATTCTTGTGGGGGTGTAAGCTCAAATGTAGACTACAACAATATTGTAGAAAACCCAGGCTCGGAATATCAGAGACTTAGGCAAGAAAGACGGGAGTTTTTAAACCCGTATGATTGTTTTGTAGAAACAGAGAATAATAAAGAGTTATCTCCCTGTTCTATCGCTGAATCTGTTTCAGGGGAAACAACTCTGCAGGTAATCGGGGTAGGGGCATGGGTAGATAACTCGGGGGATATCAAAAGTAACAGTAAACATTACCGTAGTCAAAGCAATACTCAAGATGGTGATTCATTCTATCATGAACCTACATGTGATGGTGATAGGAACATTTTGGGATATACCTTAATGAATAAATGGGATGAGCAGTAACGTTTTTTTAATAAATGTATTGTTAAATTGAAGTAACTGATTGGTACAATTCTTCTAAAGTTTACGATGCAGTCAAGTTTTCAATTATGCAAGCCTTAAAAAAGTATGCTTTAAAATAAAACTTAAATACACGATTAATTACCACTGTTGTGTTAAAAATGTGGATATACTTATTTTAACTGTATTCGCCCCCGTTTTATTGTTTTATATTTTTAAAAAAATAGGAAATGCTCTAGTTGGTAAATTTAAGTTATGATGGCTATTTGTTAAAAGAGATGGAAAACCTTATAATAATACTATCGTTGTGTGAAAGCTGAGTATGGCGGATATAAACTAACCAAATATAGTAACACTTGACAATAAGAAAACAAAACACTTAACTTTCAGTACACAGTTTGTTGTATACATGGTACATCCAGCTAATTCAACGCTGATGTAAAACAACATCCCCTTTGTTAGAGAGTAACGACATGTATTATAAATTTATTGCAATCATTATGCGCAAAGTGCTATTAAAAATGAAAATTTTCTTTTGACCTGATAGTCAATTATTCAGATGAAGTAGAGCTACCACTTGCTCCGCCTAAAAATTGATAGTGTGGACTGTTCTATGTAAAATCGTGTTCTATGTTTTAACGTGTATCAGATACTTATAAGATATGAGTGGACTAAGGAACGGAAAGAAGAACCCGAAAACTAAGGGTTAGTCTTATACCCAACCTAGCGGCTCCGCTGAAATAAAAATATTTAAACTCGCATTTGTCATAATTGATTCATACATTGATCTAAGAATGTAAATGCCATGTCTTGGAACGTTTGACATTGTATGAATGTTGTGGTAAAGTAAATATTACTCAGAGTGACAGAAAATTTAAACCTAATCAAAATATAAGAAGATTATCTATTTTGATTAGAAAACAAACGCACTCTTCCAGCACTGAGCTCAGCTGGTGGTGTCGCACGCGGCGTTGGGGCCGTCGGCCCGACCTCCACGTGTTTTGGGTTTGGTTTTACTTGATTATTTCTTATGTTTACTTTACCAATTTTTTATATGCATAGTTGATTATCATTGTAACAACTATTTTCAATAAATACCATATATATTATCTTGCTGTTATGCATTATTACTTAAATACTTTACACTGTTACCCTGTTCGTGGCTTAGTCCATGTGACTGTCGATAACTTACCTGATTTACGTAACTAAACTTTACACTGTCCGTGTCTTAGCACACAGGGCATTTGAATTCTTATTTGACCTAAACTATTCCTGCCTGTGACGTAATTCCACGTGGCAGTTGAGTAGACATTTCAGTTACCTTTTTTACTACTTTTATCCTGCACGTGTATCAGCCACGGAGCAGTAGATATAATATTATATACTGCATCATTCTATTTTACTACTGGCCGTAAACTGCGGGCATTGAGTTGACCCGTAGTCATCGGACCTGATATTTTATTTTATACACCGGCCGTAAACCCTTGCCAGAGACAAGAGGTCATCGGACCAGGTAAAACCCATTATTATTCTAATAAGGCTGTAAACTCCAGGCATTGAATTGACCCTTAGTCATCAGACCTTAATGATATTACCTCTAGTAAAACTATACTAGAATCTATATTCCCGGTAAAGAAGCGGCACAGACCCTCTTACCGGTTGAATACCAGCATTTTACTGATTATCACTATTATACGGTACCGAATACCTTTTTTCCTAATACCGTTAACATAAATCATAGCTGTCTTTAAACACGGTCAGGGTTCAATGTATACCATCATGATGATCATCATCATCGTTGTCATCATCATCATCATCATCATCATCGTCGCCGTCATCATCCTCTCCATCATCATCATAATTATCATCATCATCATCATCAGCATCATCATCATCATCATCAGCAGCAGCAGCAACATCAGCATCAGCATCAGCATCAGCATCATCATAATCTCGTTGTCATCGTCATCACCATCATCATTCCAGTTGAGCACATTGACCCTATGACAGTTGTTCATCGTACTCTTCGGACTATTCGGCCGATCTGGATCATTTCGACTGCTTTTTCATCTTTCCTAAATTATCTTTACAAACTTCGTTTTGATCTACCGAATTTCCTATGTCCTAGTGGATTCTAATCGAATGCCTGTCTGCTGATTTTGTTTGTTGGGTTTTTCAAGATCAAGTGACGTGATTACACATCGCTCTCACGATTTCTACGACCGTCTCATATAAATACAACCTACTTTGTACTTTACAATAATTGCTTTGAAGATGATTTTTAGATGGTTTTCGATGGTTTTTAGATGGTTTTTAGATGGATTTTAAGATGGTTTTTAGATGGGTTTTACCTCTCGGCACACACTTTAATTATCTTAGATTCCACATCATGAGATATATATTGTTACGCATTTTTTAGTGTAACGCGAAGGGAAATAACTCACAAATTGTGACGTTTTCAAACTCAAAAAATATTCTTGCTTATCTATAAAAACACACAGCGATGACATATGTTAAAACTGTTACTATATATCACTGAGTGTACTAATTATACTTTACGTTATAAAATGCCTTGCCAACATCGTACCCTTAACAAAAAACCCTAATAACAACTAGATATCTAACCGAATAAATTGTATTGGTGGGTTATATTGGCTTCAACGAGGTTTCAATAGCCGACATTGTGCTATTAATATCTATTTATCATTTATTTGATAAGAATATATCTCGATCAAGGTCATGCTTACTCTATTACTTTACTATCATTTCAGATTAGATAGGATTTTTAAATCAGGCGAGAGTGATGATAGTATATTATAGTTTAGCATTTTTATAATACATTATTTACTTCGAGCCTGCTGTTTCGATTATTACAAAAAAAAAATGTCCAAGGCTTACAGTGTCATGTTCCAACTTTACTTTCTTTACCTGATTCATCTTCAAACGTTCTGCTCGTCACAGCAAATTGAGATATTTGTGAATAACTATCAAGATGTACGAAAAATTGATTTTGAAAAGTCTCTTTTTGACAGGTAACGCAAATTAAATTTAACCACTTCTCGTAATGTAATAATATGAAACATGTATCTATTTTTGAATAGGTTTTCTTATATGTTTGTTTTTGAATGTTTAAAATGTAAAATTTATAAAATAAATGACACTTAATTCATTTAATGTTATGTCATACATTACCAGTCTTTATTATCGTTTTTTGTTGAAAGCCAATTACTTCTACTTATTATCTTCATTTTCCCGTAAGTGGCAAAGAAACAATGGGCAGATGAGTAGTTTATCTGCATTAATACCTCCACATACAGGGATAATTGTGTAGTTGGCACTATGGCACCTTTACTAAATTAATTCAGGTACCCATCAGACCTGGGATCCGAACTCGAGACTTTCGGGTTAGTAGTCGTGAGCTCGACCATCTGTGCACGCTTCTCAAACGACTACCACTATTAAGTCTTTTATAGGAATTTGTTTCCTGCAATTACAAAAGGGGAAATCCAAAATCGATCGATCAATATAATATGTTTATTTGCGAGCTAAGACATACGTATCTCGCCTCTGAATCTAGTTACATATAATATGACCATAACATATGTATATCTCATAATATAAAGACATCAGCTTAACGATTTATATAACTTTATATCTTACTGTTCCAGATTCTATGCATGCATGTATGAAGAATTCGATTCCTGTTGGGCAAACTGCAGATATTACTACAAGCCTTTCACGAACAAACGATTTCATAAAGTCAATTCTGTTTCAAACAAAGACACCCAACATAGTGAAAATTACGTGTATGAATGTTTTGGTTTTGACAATAACAAGCAATATTTTATCTACTGTTCTACTGAGAACGAAGTTCCTGTGTGTCAAGATTTGGTACAATGTGCTCCATTAAATGATGGGATATTTGTATCAACAAACCATTTTTCTATGTCAGGTAGTGGGATTAAAAACTGTTCCCGATCGTGTGTGAATCAAACATTTTATTATAGAGATATACAGACCTCAACATCAACTGTGACTACCACAATAATCACATCCACTACACAATCTTCACCAAACGTGATAACAGAAGATATCAGGATAACATTAATTATCATAGCAGTGTGCGTGGTGTGTATTTTACTTCTAATGATATGTTGTATTATTGCTTTTATTACCTATATGAGACTCAAGATAAAAACTCAACAATCACATCTTAACTCTTCTGAAAACAGTATCCCATTAGTAGAGAGAGAATTAAATGACAAACTTGATGAACCATGTACTTCAACTAGTAATGACAAACAAACGACTTCAATCCATGAATCTGAGATTAACGATGGAACAGATATCAGTAAAAAACAAAAATATGTAATTAACGTTAAAAACGTTAAAATAATTAATGCCACGGATACAAGGAAATCTGGGCCATTGGATGATACTAGTGTCGACTCTGTTGATAAGAGTGACGTTGATGAAGAAACTGAGAGCGATGAAAACCAACGTTTCATCTATAATTTATTATCCAATTTTTCAACGTAAGTGGAGTTACAAAGTTTGAACTAGTGAAGTGTAGCTTAATCGGTTTTGATGAGTCACAGTCTACATTATGAGTAATGCATCATTATGATAGAAAAATGTGTGGTCTTCTTTATGGACTAAAGCTTCATAAAAAACGATGTGTCATTTAGGCGTAACAAATAATGTTTCGATACTTCTGTCTGTCCGCCTCTCTGTCTGGTTTGTACTTTTAACATTTAGTTTTCATTAGTAATTTTTGATGAAAAACAAAACTCTTCTGTGTCTAGCGTGAATGAATCATTTTTTTTTAAAAATAAAATATAATTTTAATTGATCAATTTGTGACGCATATATTTATAATTTAAAAAAAAAAATCGAGCAATTGTTACAAACATTTTTTTACTTCCCTTGATATACAATGGAAGCGGATGTAAAATAGTTTACATATAATGTCAGATTAGTGTAGGTTTTGATTAATATAGCTC